CGAAAACATCCCAGCAGAAACTGCTTGGAGAGGAGCTCGTTATGTTCCTTGACCGGAAGCATACGGGCCTCACTATGTAGGTGTTCGATAGGAGACATCAAGAGGCATCCAGTGATAGTCCGGAGTGCAGTGTTCTGACAAGTCTGAAGCTTCTTCTTCTGCGTGTCACTGCATCCAGGCGACCATATTGCGGCTGCATAATTAAGGACCGGCCGGCCGATTGCCTTGTATGTTGCCAACAACGTTTCTTTGTCTTTTCCCCATGAGCTGCCGGCAAGCGACTTGAGGATTTTGTTGCGGCTCTGTACTTTGGCAGTTGGCAGACTGTCCAAAGTGACGCCTAAAATTTTAGGGTTGTTTACTGTCGGAATTTTTGTGCCATCGACTGAAATGTTCAGGTCCAGTCTGTACTCCTTCGTCCAATTTGTGAAGATGGTCGCTGTGGATTTGGTGGGGGAGAGTGTTAGGTTCCTTGCAGAAAAGAAGCGAGAAAGATCGGAGAGGTAGCCGTTTACTTTTGAACACAATTTGTCCTCGTGTCCCCTGCTTACTGAGCTATGCCCGAAGGTATTTGTAGAGAATTCACCTAACGCCCCCAATCTTGCCGCTGATTTTGCTGCATAGCATTCCACTACAATGACGATTGGTTGCCAGTTGAGTAGTAGAGGGGTAGTCGGATGCTTCCACGACTCCCTTTTGGCTTTGCAAATTTCTTTTTTATAATTCTTTCTTATAATATAAAGATGTACATATTACCTCCAGCAGTGTTCATCATCGGTCATCTTGGCCAGTTTGAATAATTACTTAAGACTACGCCTACGTGACCCGAGCTCCTTGTTCCGCCATGTACTGGAGGACACGCGATGCAATACGCCTTTCTTAAAATATAAGTGAGCGTGACGATCCTTTAGTTCAGAGATTAAGTCACATTCCTCGATTCTAATTAAATTCCCTATTACTCTCTTCCTGTACAAATCCTAGTTAGTATTCTAAGGATTCCTGAAGATTACACTTTTGTTAAGGGCTGAAAATTCTACTTGATATTTCACATACCTATGGTCACAAAACGAGTGTTTACGAAACACCTCCCAATCTTCGCATTGATTATTTTGCTAGCTTGCATTGTTACATCAAGTTCTCCTCCGAAGTTCCACTAGTGGCGCAAGGAGTAGCGTAACATCCTTGCCATCCTTTACGGCAACTACAGTCTAGTCAAAAGTAAAGATTGATATTACCTAAAAGGGTTTCAGTCTGAATGTCATCGTTAATAATCAAAAATATTTAATGTTTCATATGAAGTATAAATACATAACTGTAACATAATTATATTATATATATAATTTCTATTATTAAATGAACATACATATGTATGTAATATTTCGAAATTTTCTTATCTAATGTTATAAAACCTATGACCTCAAGTACTAGGTATATTAATGCAGATATTGAACATTTTTTACGTCAATAAAATAAGGAAATACTTTAATAAGTCTCATATGGTACCGAAATATACATAAGACATTTCGTCAAAACGGAACTTTTTCTTTGGACCGTGGTTTGTTCAGTTTAAAATTCGGAAACTAAACTCTGGAACTCTCTTATTACTAGAAGTGAAAGAGTGTTACATTTTTATTATAATTCAAAAATACAAAGAAATTTCCAAAAATAAACTAGTATATATATGTACATATATGCTATATTTACAAGTATATAAGAGTTAGAAGTGGCATTTGACTAATCTTTAGTCGTTTATGTAGATATGAAAACGAATAAATATCATCAACAGTATTTATCGAACTTTTGTTGGGCACTCTTTGCTCATGTCACGGTACGAGGTAAACGCGGTTAATCCAATTGATTTACTGTTTCGGTGTTACAGACATCATATAACGGCAATAGTATAAACATACCTGTGATTAACTGATTACATGGATACAAATTAGCTAATTCAGTCAATGTTTCTGAGTATCTGTCAACTTGTCTGCTAGCGTACCTTTTTGTGAGTATGTGCATGTATGGTGGCAGATATCAATGCAATCGATAGTACATTGATCCAGGCTGCAGTTGACTTTCTGCTCATTGTCAAGTTCGATGTCGATACGAACAATACTTATGTTCAAGTATATTCTAATTAAAGACTCTTTTATAGGTAAAGTGATATCAATATTGACTTTTTGCTTATAATAAACTCTTTCATTATTGGGACCATTGTTAGTATTGTACTATTACTTACTTATTAATATAACACTGAGTATAATTTAAATATTTATGAAATTTACCATCTACCAATCAAATTTTGTCTTGTATTCCCATTTCCAAAAAAATTCTGGCTTGAATGTTATCCCATCCATGCAATATTTGTCTGTGGAAAGTTTGAACATAGTCGTTTAAAGAACTTATAATATCTTTTTCCTATGCGTTATATCGTTACAATACATTGCAGTACCGTTTTAAAATTATACCGGCTATAAAAATTAAATTCCATAAGCTATTGTGGAGGTGAGTATTAGTTTGAAGGAACAACAATTAAGCTTCCCGATTTTAGTTTGGTCCTTCCTGTTAAAATATTTCCGACACTAGTAACCGAAGTTGTCTGAACATATGAAAAAATATAGTTCCATTAACATTGCGATAAAAACATTTAACACTGATTTTCATATAATAATACTACTCTTTTACTTTTATTTTATGAGAGTGTCATTTCATAAATGTTGCATTTTTTTATCAAGAATTTGCACCGGATTTTGCAAACGGAAATTATAAAGCCCACCAATTTTGACTGATCTCATAAAAAAATTGATCCCAAATTTTGAAATGTACTCCCATAGTTTCTTTACTAATCAAACTCTTTTAATTAAGTATATATATTTTTAGGAGCAATATTCAAATCGCCTTTAAAATGTTCGACGCCTAAGGAATTAAGAAGCAACAGAATTTAAGAAATTAAATAGGGAAACACTAAAGCAAAACCAATTTAACCAATAAATGTACAAATGAACTTAAATTTTAACATTGATTTTTAAAGTATTATATATTCTAATTATATATGTATGTAAACGTACTAATGAATTGATATTTAAATGTTGATTACCTCAGCTTATAATAAATAAAGAATCAAAAATAAAATTGTATTTATTTTGTATGCTGATTAATCGTACAAAAACAGAGAAGCCTCATTAGATCTCTTCTTCGGGTACAAAAGGGGACATGCTCAAACATAAAAATATCAACAGTAGTATTAGTCGCATGTTGCTTTGCGACGAATCGCGGACTTATCCCGGACACTTTCCAATTTTTTGCAGGGGTATTCATTCTTATGGCCAATTCACTAGAAAGTTGTATGTGAATGGTCCTTTACACATACATACTGTATGTAAGTATATATACACATGTATGTATATGAACATATATACATACATACACAAGTACTGATAAGCAACAATTTGCGCGTTTTAAAAATACTAGCTACTTTAAGTATGAAACTCTATCGACCGTTGGATTAGCTGAATCCGTAATGTTTATTGCGGCCCAATATATTTACATACACAGGTATACATATATATACTCATATGTACATATGTATGAATTTGTTATCGCAAAACGTAGCAACGCAATGTAAAAACAGCAAATGCAGCTTTAAATAAAATTAACAATAAAAACCTAATCTACTTATTTAACAATATTGACATATACAAACATGTACTTATGTACGTATATAGGGTAGTTCCCATGGTATTTTCTATTTATATATTTATTAACATATATATATACATATTGTGCTAAGTTATATTCTGATATATTCGCTGATGCTTTATAGTGAAATAATCTGTTTGAATTGAAAATTATGTCATAGTTTCCACATGTGTGGAGTCCAACTTACAGCAATGTAACATAAGGATATCAGGTGATTGGTATACACCAAATTTAATGTTGGTTTAATAGTTTCTGAAATATAGGATTTCGCCTTAAATTTTACGGGGTCATACAGTTCCGTTCGATCCATTTTTAAACTGATTCAAATGCAAGCTTGGTAATCTCACTGTTAAATTTATTGTTTATCATTATTTTAGTAGTTGTGAACGAATCCATTCTATGGGTGATTGAGGTGGTTACGATTTACTATTTTCTCAAAGAATACTTTCGTCAACGCTATATCTTTGCTTTCAAGCTTTTAATATTTCCCTTCACTATTATCCTGATGTTCAGGGCAGATTGCTAGCGGGAAAGAGCTGACCTTTTAAAAAGAATAAGTGATTAAAAATCCATTTATGGTCCACCTTTTACACTGCCAAGGTAAGAATATGATATGCATACATACATACATATGAACGCTATTAGATACGCTACCTATTCAACGTTGGCGTTTCGATGTTTGTGCGCCAGCGATTACTGCTCTGCCCCGATATTTTGCATTGTATTTGCTGCCAATTTCATGCATTGATTCTAAGAATCGCGACGACTGCATAAACAACATCGACACCGGCATGCGAGACATAAACAGAGCTCTGGGCACTGCAATTGCAATTCGGCTGGCACAGTTTCACGCGATCGTTTGTCTCGTAAAGAGCGTTTGTTTCTATCGTCACTTTTTCCACATTTGTTGCGTTCCTTGTGTGTATTGACATCGTATATTTGTTAGAAAAAGCAAAGTTCACAACACAAAATTCAAACGAAAAACTGCATTGCCTTTGACTTATTGTTTACAATCAAAAAGTCGCAACAAGGATGTTGCTGCACGATTCAAGGAAAGTGGGCACCTATGACACGGAGCCCGAAAGGATACGCCTACAAATACAACATATTTCACAATGGTTGAAAGAAACCCCTAATGTGAACGCCAATACTGACTTTGGGAATTTGCTGTTCTTTTTACGAAGTTGCAAATATGATTTGGAACGAACAAAGAAAAAAATAAAAAAGTGAGTCTGAAGCTAGTACTAATAATGCAGGAGAAGTGCTTGCGTGCTATTGTCTTATATATCATGATTAGATCATTAGAATCATCGGTATTACTATCATGATGATTGTTAGATTTTTAAAAAATAAAAATCGTTGTACGTAAACAGGTCATTTTTAACCCGAATTGGCGAAACAAACTATTTTCACGCCGAACTGTTGTCGAAGTTTCTGAAAGAAATTATTGTGACATAGTAAATGAGAAATAGTTTAAATACAAATGCATTGAAAATTCAACCAAAGAGCAGAAAAGTCTTGTAATATTTATATACAATACAAAGTTAAAACCTCAATATGAGTTGTTTTTATTTCATATCGTTTTTTCACCTCCTGTGAACTTATGAAAAGTGTTGTTACATTATTTTGCTTTTTTTGTACAATTTAAAACTTTTAATTGTGGCACTAGTAATTATATTTTATTTGTATTGTAACATATAAAAATTAACAAAAAACAGAAGGAAAATCCATAATTACTTGGACTCCAAAAACCCCAAAACTGCTATCTCCCTAATTTATTCAGATATTTCTTATATAATATCGATATTCCTTATATAAGTCATTCGGGTTCGAAACATTATATTTAGTATAATGGATTAGTGTAAGGCTTGAACCGATTTTCGCCATTTTTAACACCAAACTACATTGGGGTTAATAAAACCTTTTCAATATATTGATAATGGCACGTTTATCCTTTGTAGTGAGTAAGCTTAATTTTCGTCAGGAATTTCTACAATTTCTGAACTGTTTAATATACAATTTCACCTATTTTCTCCGCTATTTTAGCTTTAAAGATTACCGAATGATAATAATTTTTATTTTTTTCGCTTAACAGTGTTTTGTTGGCTTAGTATTAATCAAATTGAAGTGATTCTGACTGAAATGTTTGTTGAAACCCATTTACCTACATTGTCAATTAAATGAGTAACTCTATTTTTTAATGCGATTCGGTGATATTGCTTTGTTTTTATAGCTTCTATCAAATGCGTGCGGAGCGTGTAGAATGGTTCGCCAACAGAGATCCCTTTTTACCAGAAATACAAGCACTTCTGAAGTTGGGTGTATTTCTGCCAGTCGACGGTGTTGATTCAAAAAATCGTAAGGTGGTTATAATACGTGCTGCTGCACACGATCCAAAACTTCATTCCCAAAATAACGTTTTCAAGGTAAAATGAAATAAAAATATAAAAATTAATGAACAAATGTAATACAAATTTAATTACTAGGTCAGTAAAATGGTATTAGACTTACTACTAAAATTTGAGCCAGATAATTGTGGACAAGGTATTGTGGGTATTTTTGATATGACGGGCGTTCAGTTGGGCCATGCTCTGCAATTGAATCCGAGAATGATAAAACATTCTGTTGAAAGTTGGCAAGCTTATCCATGCCAACCAAAGCTCTTGGAGTTTATAAATGCGCCGACGCACGTGAATATCTTTCTGAATACTTTCAGGTAACTAAATTTATAATTGATAAGCCTGTTTTTATACTATATTCTTTTCCATAGATTATTTATGACGCAGAAAATGCGTTCTCGCGTTGTTGTACAAAAACGTTCAACTACAGTTGAGTGTGCTGAATTACCGAGAGATATTGGAGGAAACGGACCTAGTTACAAGGAACTTGCTGCGAAATGGAAACAACTAGTGGAGGATAACATTAACTTCTATCAGGAGTATGAAAAATACAAAAGTATATTGCCAACTTGAACCAATTTCGTAAACCGTCGAGAGGAGTAATGGGAAATACCACTCGTTCGCATTCATTCCTCTTATATCAAATACTTTGTGTTTTATTTAGTATTTAGCATTTAGCAAAATTATATTGATTAGGATTAGTAGCACTTAAAATGGCACTGTAATAACTATATAAAACCTCTTAAAATGCTAGTGTATATATATGCTTTCACACAAAAAGTAAGATATAATTAAGTTTAGATTATTTAATTTATTGCATACGCATACATATGTAGGTATATGGGTAGTATTTCATACATTTTAATTCATATTTTTAATTGGTATATATTTTATTTCTAAGCTGTAAGATTACATTGTTAATATAGATATTTTTAAATAAATGCTGTATATACTTGTATGTGTATAAATTAAGTATGAAAATATATATTTCTTAATTTTTATTAATATTAGAATTAAATTTACATATGTGTATCCTTTTCAAATACACATCTGTGTATATAGTGTGATATACTAAATTAAGTATGAAAATGAATGTACCTTACATACAAAGTCTTCTTGGTTCGGAACCTTTCGCACAGTAATATTCGGAAATAAAAGTATATTTTCACGAATCTGCTAGGGAGTTTTCGACAAAATTTAAACTAATCTACTTGATTTACCAAAATATCCCACGCTCATACTTTGGCTAGACGCTTTACCGAGTTTGTCTTACTAGTTTTCTCTTCATAAATGTTGGAAGATTTTAAATAACCATATCTACATATATATAATATAAGTGCATTTAAATGTACCTGTTTATGTCATTAGTTAATTATATATATGTTTCCTGTCAATATATGTTTTTAATTTACTAGAAAGGACTTTATATAAAATGCAGATTTGCAGTACAAAATTTAATCGCTTATATTTAGCGTTAGAGATTGTATTTAGTTATTTTCTAAAGTTTTATACATTTATTCTAATGGGGTTAATGCATATTCAGCTATTGATTATTTTTCTTTGCACACATGCATGTAAGTACAAAACTTTATTAAGGGTCTAAGACATTATCCATGCAACTATTGCTTTATTTCACTTGTGGTTGCTGAAAATAAAATTAGGAGTCAAGTCTTATTGGGCTCTTTTATTCTTTATTGTTTCAATATCAATGTTTTCGTTCCTCCAACACGAGACAAAAGTTAACACTTAACTTCAAATAGAAAAGGTTATATCTACATGTACGTACTTATGTATGTATACGAATGGCCCTAAAACCTTGCTATTCTTTTTATATATTTAGATTCTGATTTCTTGAATTTTTGCATTCATTTTTATATATATATATTATTCTTAACTCATTTAACGATAAATTGATAAATATTCGATAATATGGCGCTAGTGAGTAATTTTAATGTCGGCATATACCTATTTATCATACTTCCCACGACAGTCGGGTCTAAGTAACCGGAACGGACCCTGACTTTTATCCGGCCTAGGGCTATCAACTCGATTTCATTCCTCGAAATTACTTCAGAAATGTTTTCTGCCGCTACAAAAAAAAATAACAACATGATAAATCCTTACTCTGCTCCAATGATTTAACAAGCTAATTATTCACGTTTGTTTGCATTTATTATATGCGAAGTGTTTGCATTAGCTCTAAGTGATTACATTTTTAAGTGTAATTTTAAGAGAACCTTAAAACTAGTATTTTCAAAATAAATCTTAAAGCAGCAACTAATACTAATTACAAATGAAATATAATTGTTTATTGCATTTGTCGCTGTAAAGCCACTTTAAAAAAAGATTATTATATAAATATTTATATTTAGAGAATAAATTAAAAATTCTAGCTTTGAATTATAGTTGCAGTAACAATGTAGACTGCAGTATATATTGTACTTGTTACACACTAGCGCTTATATTATTCTAATTATAAAAATTAAATTTCACTCTTTGTATCGTTAAATTAAAAATCGTACGAGGTTACTTATAGTTTTGAAATTATTGAATATATAAAATTCAATTAAAAGATGTACGAAACATTCAACATATGTTATTATTTTCAAGGTGTTCGAACTATTTCTAAATTAATGTGTTTGTATGTATATTAATGTTGTTTATCGAAGAATGTGTTTCTTAATAAGACGTTCACACTCAAAACTCCAATTGCATCCCGACTTGCAATGAATCCTATATTTGTCTCTCATCTTTAGCTGTTAACTTATCAATAAGTTCTTGCAGTGGAGCTAGTTCGCGCCGATCAATTAAATTAAACTCTTGAACGAAGAATATAAAGTGCTTAAAGGATGTATTCAAATGTGCCTCTTCACCCAGAGTTACGACTTCCGAGAAATGTTGATGGTATATATGTGCGTAAACACGAAATAAACGTTTTAGAATAGTTTTCGCTATGCTGAGAAAATTCTTTGGAAACGGTATGCCTATTTTCGATGGGAACAGCGTCTCATCATCTAGTTGGTCTTGCACCCACGTCATTAGGTAATCAATATACTTAGGTGCACTGCATTTAATAGGCTTCTTAACAGTTAGTCCATCCGCCCAATGATATTCATACTTCGGTCCTGCAGACATAATAACACAACTCTCTTCGGTACAAAACTCAGTAATAGTACCATATAGCATATTTATTTGATTGAAGAAATCGACAGCTACAATAGTAATAGACACGTAAATGCATGATAAGCGATAGCAAATTAAAGTCAACTTACTGTTAACAGCGACCCATTCATTAAGGTCTTCTCCATCCGGCAATGCGACAGCATTACGTAAATTACCAGAACCTAAAGTAGCAGCCGCATGTTTCATTAAATCATATTGGTGAGTACCTTCTGGTATATTTTTTTTTGGCTTAAAAGTTTTGCTTGAACGTGACCCACTAAATTAAAATAAAAATATTATTATTATATTCAGTACCATAACATAATATATAACTCGTATTGAAATGATTATACGATTTCTTATTAAAAGGTTTAGCTTCTTTCAGTGTTAAAACATAGATAATATTTGTTTAATTCGTTAATTCCGAGTTTTAGTGGACAAGGAGGAAGTCTTTTTGCATGTGTAGTTATTTTTCGGTTTCGTTCGAACAAACCTTAAAGTGACTCAATACATTTTAATAAGCAAAAAATATATTATATTACCCTCGAAGCGAAAATTGAAAATGTTAACTTAATTATGGCTTAATATTAATTCGTGGAATTAAGAGATTACTAGATTAGCTTGGCGAGTCAATTGGAGCTCTACGTTTGCAACGCTCCTTGGCACTACTTCAGAACGGTATGTATATTTTGTAAGATTAAGGAGTCCGAAATGTCAAAGTTAATACTGAGTATTTCTCTGTTGTTGTTGCGGTTATCTAATCCCCGCTTTGTTGGTAAGGTTGAGGTTGACTGCCATCGAGGGAGAAAGGGGTTAGATGAGTGGGGTTCGTTAGGCATGTAAACAGGTGGTTAGAGTCATATGGGGACTCATTGCATGCTGGACATATATTTGATATGTCGGGGTCGATTCCGAAATTGCGCAAGGATCACTCTAGACTCTCATAGCAACTCGAGCTCTTCCTCTACAATGGGTGGTGGTTTGACTCCAAGTACGACATTCAAAGGAGTCGGAAAAGGTGTTAATTGCTTCACTGTAAATGGCCAGTGCATGTCTGAAGTTAGTTGCGTCCGAAGTCAGGCAGTCGACGTAGTCAAAGAAGGACTTATTGATGTTCCTAGGAGGCGGTTCAGCTATGGTTTCTGCCGTTTACTTTTGAACACATTCGACATCGATTCCATTGCGTGACGTAAATATCGTGCAATCATCAGCGTACCAGGTGATGGAAATTCCCTCTGGTGGTTGAGGGAGTTTCGAAATGTGGATATTAAACAGTAACGGGGAGAGGACAGCACCCTGCGGTAGCCCCTGTTTAATTCTTCTTAGTTTAGAGTTTGGACCTCGAAACAGTACGGATGATTGCCGACCGCTCAGGTAGTTCATAGTCCACTTCCTCAGCTCAGGAGGAAGCGTGGATTGTTCTGTGTCCTCAAGTAGCGTTGTGTGGTTGACTGTGTTGAAAGCTTTCGACAAGTCCAACGCTACGAGGATCGACCTCACAGGGTGGCTATTGGTTTAGGTTATAAATTATCTAGGCGTTTATGACGCTAAGAGCTGCGGTGGTACTGTGCACTTTGCGGAAGCCATGCTAGTGGTCTGCTAGACTCAGGTGGTGAGTGAACGTCGCGAGTAGCAAGGCCTCAAACATCTTCACTACTGGGGAAAGGAAATATGGGACGACAACACTCAATTTGTCCGCGGGTTTTCCTGGTTTCAATAATGGGACCACTCTTTCGACTTTCCACACATCAGATATTTGAAAAGTGGTCAGCGACAGGTTGAGAACTTTGGTTAGGAAGCTTACTCCCCTCGAGCATATGTGCTCTAGCATCAGCATATTTTTCCGTCAGGGCCAATGGACTTTGATGATTATGTCTTGTTGATAACTCTCCGAACCTCTTCATCGGTGAAAGTAAGTGGCACGTAGTCTTTTGGCATTTTGCGCAGCGGTCGGATAACACATCGTTTGGCCTTGTCTGTCGCGCACTTCTTAGGGTCCGAGGAAGCATAGCCATCGCGTTGGATTTCAACCCCACAACAGCCGGGTCGTCATGTCTCTTCGGTTTTGACAAGGCCTTCACAGTAGTCCAAAACTTACTTACACCGGTGGAGAGGTTACAAGACTTCAGGTGCTCTACCCATTTTGTCCGCTTATGCTAGTTAACCATTTGCCGAACTCCCAAACTGAGATCCCTTTTTCGGGGATAACAACAGCTAAAACAGCTGCTTCGGTTTGGAAATTGGGGAGGAGTTCCGCGATTCTTCCACTGGGGATGAGGCGAGCGGTAGCAGCTGCGATCACCTTGCGGAATTCACGTTTACGTCTGTAGGAATGGGTAGTGGGGTGAAGGTGCTCTCGGTAAATTCTGTGATGCCGACCCAGTTGGCTTTGTTAAAGTTAACGAAGGTACGGTTGTCCACAGAAATAAAGTCGGGAGGTTTCTCGATCGAGATAATTATGTGCAGACTGGGAGTCATGCTGCCTTGTGGTCCACTCCCTATGAGTCTTAAGTCCTGAATAGGTCCTGAGATGACTCCCTCCATTGCATGTGTTATACGTAACCTACGTATAAGCCTTAAGCGCAGCAAAAAAATTCCTCCGGGTCGGGTTGGACTCAATGCCAGCACGGGTCAGAAGGATGCTGAGCAACTCTGCTGCAAGGAATTGCTACAGTGAAGACAATCTTAATCTAAAACTCGCCGATCAAAACAGGGTTAGATCGCCGATATAACAGACCTTGGCCGGAAGGATCTAGATTTCTTGGGAATTGAGTATTTCTATATATAATATTTCTCTGTCATTTACTAAAGTCCTTTCATATAATTCTCGCTTTTATTCTTTTACAGTACAGAACTAAGGTTACGTTCAAAGGAGAAAGGTGGTTGAGTACCTGTAGTTGTACTACATAAATAATATAAAAATTAGTTTTTCCTTGTTTTTACGTTGTATTTTGTTACGAGCTATACAGCTGATCAATTTATATAAATAATTGAAACATCTACTTCTATATAAGGAGGTTAATATAGAAACAATACTTACAATAGAAATTCCATGACTTTAACGTTTTAGTTTAAGCGTATTGTACGTTAATAAATATTTAATACAAATACCGTAACGTCGTGTTATGAGATCGATGCTGGTTTTGAAATTTGAAAACTTATTTTCTTCAGAAGCCTCCTAATTTTTATTCACTGATTTTAGATTAAGCAATTTCACACGAGTATTAGAAAATACTGAGGTGGCTTCTGGTTAATACACTTGAGGCGTTGTTGTTACTTGAACAGAGGATAGTGGGGCCCGACCGCAACAATTTACATTTATGTATATTTGTGTGATTTAAGTAAAGTGAGTCTAATATATATATGTTAAAAATGTATCGTCTGCCAATCGGCTCTACTGTTCCGTCGCAGCTGATGGCGCCCTCTACACCTTTATTTAGCCAAATCAATAAAATCAATTTAACTCAAAATTTGATCAAATCTTGTATATAATATGTAACAACTTAAATTCATTTTAATGTTGCTATATTATTGAACTAAAGACGCTTTATTTGCAAAATATTTGTAACACGAAGACAAAACACACCTCACTATTCACTCAAAGTTGCACAGTTGCCACACTTTTAATACATACTTAAAATATTAAACCATTAAAAAGAGTAAAATTTGCCACAGTTACTGAAATCGAAAATAAGACAATTTTTTTTCATTTCATTTCAATTACAATGTTTTCTTTTTTAGAAATTATAGAATAATATTCCTCATCAAATGTGTGATATAACATTTTTGCTCTCGGTCACCAGCATACAGAAATTCAACTCATGTGCCGTCATATAAACGGAGTAATTTAATTATATATAAGTAAAGAATAAAATTGATATAATTATTATAATGATAACAATAAAATATTGTATGTTGAATAAATTACAAACATATTTATAAAACCTATGATTGCGAAGTTTACAAAACCTTGAAGCATATAAAAAAAACTGTTCGGAAACTTCGAAAATGTTCGAATTCAACCAAATTATATAGATGACGTTTTAGTTAACAAATGTCAAATTTTCAAACTCTTAAGCAAATGCAAAACACGTGGAGAAGTTTAAAGCGTGGAACTTGTTATTTTAAATATTTTGTACTTATTTTGTAATTGTGAATTGTGGCATATTTCGCTGTAAATATGGTTTGTATTATTTTTTTTATTTCTGTAATAGCATATTAATATAATATTTGGATTTTTTAGTCACAACTATACGTCCTTTACGAACACGCTGCGGGATTCTCCCTTTTTTCGGTCAAGGAATTTGAAGAAGTATCTATGTTTCTTCCTCAAGTTGAGGCATCCGTAACAGATATAGCAAAATTCCATTCGATTGTAAAATTAGTTGGATTTTCTCCTTTCAAAACAGCAATAGCGGCCCTGGAAAACATTAATGCAATTTCTGAAGGTATTGCGCCACAAGATTTGCTGGTATTTTTAGATGATTTCTTCTCAAAGTTGAAGAAGAAGAAATGTACCTTAGGTATTGCGGATGCTAAGTTGGGAGCTGCTATTACTGAATCGATAGGTGTGCAATGTAGCCACTTTGGAGCTGTACCAGAAATATTACGTGGTATACGTTTTCATTTTCATCGGCTGGTCAAAGGTAATTTTTTTTTTTTATTGATAATATAAATATAGCATATAAATTGACTGCTTGTCATCTCTTTTAAGGATTTACCGACAAGTCTGCCGGTGTAGCACAACTGGGTTTGGGTCACAGCTATTCTCGTGCCAAAGTCAAGTTTAACGTTCACCGTTCGGACAATATGATAATACAATCCATTGCGCTTCTTGATCAATTAGATAAGGACGTAAATACATTTTCAATGCGTATACGGGAGTGGTATTCGTACCATTTCCCAGAGTTGGTCAAAATCGTTCCTGATAATTATTTGTTTGCTAAAACTGCTAAATACATAAAAGATCGTAAAAGCCTTTCACAAGACAAATTAGAAGAATTGGAGGAAATTGTAATGGATTCGGCAAAGGCGCAAGCTATTATTGATGCAGCAAAAATGTCTATGGGTATGGATATTTCAATAGTAGATTTAATGAATATTGAATTATTTGCGGAGCGCGTGGTTCGTTTGTCTGAATATCGAAAGAAAATGGCAACATATTTGCACAATAAAATGGAGGCGGTGGCACCAAATTTGCAATCTCTAATTGGTGATCAAGTAGGGGCCCGTTTAATTTCGCACGCGGGCAGTTTGACTAATTTAGCTAAATATCCAGCTTCAACAGTACAAATATTGGGAGCGGAAAAAGCACTTTTCCGTGCATTAAAAACCCGTTCAAACACACCAAAATATGGATTGCTTTACCATTCGTCGTTCATTGGACGAGCTGGATTAAAGAACAAAGGCCGCATATCTCGTTTTCTGGCCAACAAGTGTTCGATTGCATCCCGTATTGACTGCTTTTTAGAGAAACCGACGAGGGTTTTTGGTGAAACTCTAAAGCAACAGGTGGAAGATCGTCTGAAATTCTATGAATCTGGTGAAGTACCACGTAAAAATATAGAAGTTATGAAAGAAGCCATTGAAGCAGCAGAAAAAGAAGACAAAAACAGTGTTACCGAGGCACAAGCATTAAAAAAGAAAAATAAGAAAAAGAAACGCAAAGCCGTGGATGCGGAAAACGGCGATGTTATAGAAAACAAAACGAATGGAAAGGCTGAAGAAGCAAATGACACAGTGGTAGAAGAGAATGGCGGTGAAGCTGGTGAAGGAGAACCTAAGAAGAAGAAGAAGAAAAAGAAGAATAAGAATAAGGACGCAGAGGCTTAATTGTAAACAATCAGACATTCGTTGGGTTATACAAAGTACATAGTTAAGTGGTGATTGCATTCATTTGCCTCATAAATGTATAACATAAACTCTAATATTTAGGTTATTATTATCTGCTATTGTCTTTACATTGCGTAATTGGGAAATTACTTTTGTGGGACTAACATTTTTTGCAAACCTAAACAATTTGTGAAATCAGAGCTGAAAATTTTGAATAAAGTACGGAAATATTAATAATCGCATTTCCCTTTCTTTTTAATTTTGTAGACAAAAAATAATTGTAGTAATTGTTTTTTGTTTTTATTTTTATATAAACTTATGTGCGTTTTTATTTACAAGTTCAATTAATAAACCAAAAGAAATATTTTATTTAATGCTATGCTAATTGAAATCACAGTTATGCAGAGAATATATGTATGTATCTATGTACATACACTACCGTTCAACTAAATAGATTCAACGCTTCAACCAAAACGAAGGGTACAGGTACAGTAAGCACCAGTTGGCCGAAAATTTTTATGCATTTAGAGAGTTTTTCTAGCACCTGTTTATACATTGTGAAAATGGGTGAAACTAAATGACCACCACGCCAACTCCCCATATAATAATTATGTTGAAAACTATTAAAAGTGCGATAGCTCAATAAATAAATGCTTGAACCCAAGATGGTACAAAAGGTTTTCATAATAGCTAATATCAAAATTGAACAGAGGCCATCTCTAGGTGAAATCCTAAATCTTCCCACCAACTTCACCAATATCCAAAAAAAAAAATACTATTACTTTTAGCTCAAAAAAGAAACAAATTGGCATTACTTATTTCTGAATATCTTGAGTTTATAATAACGAACCAAAGGTATGTATCTTTTTAGAGTAGGTAAGTTTTTCCTGCTATGTTGAATATACAAAAATGCACAAATATACACAATGCTTAAAACGAAATTTAAGCAGTAGGCTTTAAAGCTATACAGCTTAGCGCCAGGGTACATGCGTATATTTAACTTATTTCTTAATTTTTCTAAATACTACTTGGGTAAGAGCAATGCCAGCTACATCATCAAAGTCTTATATTTTCGAATATGTGTATCTAGCTGCACCAATAATGAACGTTTTCGATCAAAATCGTTGCGAGGCATTAGTTTCGGTCGTGGTTTCGTTTGGGAAATTTCTACAAATAGGTAATGCTTATACAACTGATACACTGACGAACACAATTCAAATATGATTTGATTTATTTGTTACATACATGTACATTGTTTATATAACAACGCAAGTTTTTATTTTAATGTTCCACTCTGAAATTAGCAAATTAATTAATTTACCACCAGGTAATGTTTGCAATGGTTTATTGCAATTATTTCTCTTTTGGAAAATTACGAACAATTTTTATACGTACACATATTAAATAACGAAATTATATATTTATTCTCATTAAATTCTGTTCCTAATTTATGTTCCTATATACTATATAATATACGTACATACAAATTTATGTTAATTGAAGTGAAGTGCACTGTAAAAGCATTTTCTGGGTCAACCATAAAATAATACTACGGAATTACAAAAATATTAATCCATATACATATTTTTACACAACCTTGTTTCATTATTTATTTAACTTTTTATTGTTGCTTTTTAATGAAGTGACGATATGCACAAACTTAACCCAAACGGGAATAAGGACGGAGTGGTTACCTACTATAACGGTACGTATTAAAATTTATTTTGCGGTGAAAGAATATTTCAAGGCGAACACACATTTAAAATATAGAGAGAATTAAAAACACAACTTAAATAATAACAATCAGTAAGATGAATAACTGTCGTCAGTTATTCTTATGCCTATGAAGACCAAGAAACTTTCTGCAGATGTCAATATTCAGTAGTATTACAAAATGTTAAAGCAATAGAGTGCAAGTAGAGTAGAGTAAATAAATATCGTAACAAAACAAAAAAAAAAGATATATATATAAATGGCGGCATACATTCTTCGTTGGAGGAACAATTGTTTTCAATGGGAGTTTGAAAAAATATTCATGCGGAATGATTCGTTAATCTGTTAATCATTACCTTCATTTACACATGTAAATATATATACAAGTATATGTATGTATGTAGATTATGATCGCTTGGAACATACCCGTCGTAGTAAGGATACGCTTTGATTAACTCTCTTTTGTATATTCAATTAACTCATTTTATTCACTAATACAAATGTATGTTTAATAATATTTAACGTTTTCAATGTATTACATTTCATTGCAGATTTGTATAAGTATTGTATACTTTCCTATTGTATGTAACACGCATACTCATTGTAATAATTAACATATAAAACTCAAAAATGGAGGCAGCAACGCACTCCTTGAATGCAGTAAATTTTACTTATATGCATATAAATGTATAGGTATGTATATCGAATGCACTCATTTATATAACAGACATCATTATAACATTTGTGCATATCGATTTAAGCACACATTCAATTTTAATTGCTTACGAATTTCTTGAGTCAAAAATTGCAATACTTTTTCTCATTCAAAAAATCAGCGCACACGGATAATCTTAATAATTAACATTGCAGTTGGATCGTAAGGATGAATCAAAACAAAACATTAAAATAAAAACAAGAACAAGAGAAGTAAATTTTTTCAGAACTATACAGTACATAATAGGTATGTCGGTGTGTGATTTATTTATGCTATTAAATATCATTGGAATATATCAAAACCATGCGCTTGTACTTGATTATTGTTGTTATTGCCTCCGCGTTTTTGGTGTTGTGGCTGTTCTAAATTCATTGCACTAAAATTAGCAAACATTTGTGTAGCTGTTGTTGATGTTGTTTGCTGTGATAGAGGTGGAATGTTTTGTGATGTTGGGGCAAAAAAGGCGCCTGGAATGCCGATTGTGGCAGATGGGAGTCCTGCCGAACTCTGTACAACGTTTGACGTACCAAGACCGGGGCTGGTCAATGGAGAAATGCCGCCGCCGACAAACGCACTAAAACTAGAAGTTTGTATTGTCGATGACACGTTATTATTGCCAACACTACCACTGCCTATGTGTTTCGTGGGGCTCTGGGTTTTTAGCGCATTCATCGATGGTGCTGGCACATTGGACTTGTTTGATTTGCTGTTCAACAAGTTGTCTAGATCAATTTTCAGATCACCTGTCTTCAAGTTTTCGGACCAAGTGGCACCAACATTTTGTGCGCCAACTGTTGTAGATGTATTTATTGATTCGCCCAAAGCCAGTTGTTGCTGTTGTATGTTGCTAGCACTTATGGGTTGGAGTAAATTGCTGTTGTTGTTGCTTGAAATAGGCGGTAAGATATTGTCTGAAAAATTAGAAATTCGACGGTGAAATTAATACTTTACGGTTACGCTACTGAAAATGAAGTAAGAGTGTCTCAAAATGAGGTGATATACTCTTTATTATACACTCATATACATTTGTGGATTTCAAGTACATATAAAGAAAAATGTGAAATGTATAATGTTGTATTTTAATATAATATAACAAAGCACAATTCTAAAGGAAATACATTCTGGAGAAAAGTTCTACCAAATGGAGTGTGGATTTGAGTATATTTATTACACATACACATCGTTTTAATACACATATTTTGTGTATTTTATTTAAACAATTTGAAAAATAAATGCAAGTGAAAGCTATTAAGTTAGTAGCAATTAAATAAGAAAAAATTCTATACAAAGAAATATTTGCTAATATTTGAAAATAATAATAATACAACAAAAATGAAAGGATGCCGTTTTAGTTTAGTATTTCTGCAAAAACTAGTCTTTGCAAAATTAGTTGATATAGTTTTAAGAAAATAATTACACTTTATATGTGTCTTTGAAAAAGAAATAGCGCAAGCATTTTTAAATATTTATAATATTAATATCGGAATAATAATCGAATAAATGTAGTGTATGTATGTAAGCATATGTAAAAAAAGAGTTAAAATTAGTGATTTAATCATAAGTGCTCCGTTTGTTGTAAATATTTTAGGAAACACAAGCCAAGCATTTAACATCCAAATTATTTTGTTATTCTTATTTTGGTTTACCTAATGCGTCCGTGGTGGTACGATGCCGGGTATGTTGAGAAACGCTTTCATTTATACATACATGCAAAATATTATAAATTTTTTGTATTAAAACAAAGAATTTTCAATTACAAGGTGTTGAAGGAAAATCCCAAAATATTATCGTTAAGCAAAAAAAAAACGACAAAAACAAATAAGAAATACAATCAAAATAAATTTACAAAATACTTTAAAATGTATGTACATAAGTAGTATGGAATTCAGAAAAGTTTTCTGTTTCTAGTCAATTTAAACATTTAAACAAAACTATCTGCATGAATCCCATTGTACAAATGTACAATTACATACTTGTAAATATATTATGGTTAATTTATATAAAAAACATATTTACACATGATTTATTCAAAATATTTAAGTATTTCCAATAATTTTGCTTTCCCTATTTAACTGCGCTTAACACTTGCAAACATATTAAAGCTCTCATAGTTGATGCCAATCGGTTATGGTTCATAATGCTTTCTTCCTTTTTTCTTTTTCCTGCGATCTCTGGGGTTCTATTGTGTGAATATTATTGATTTGTTACATCTAAGTGAGAGCAAAAGTTTTCGCTGCCTGTCAAAGGCAATGATTGTATTTCTGCATAGAAAAGCTTTTTATCGTAGATATTGAAATAGATATCTAAAAATTGCATAGCTGGATTTATCCGATTAATCTTAAAACTCATATTCTATGAAATATGTTCCGAAAGTATAAAAATATTGTATAAGAGCTCGTTTTTCTGTTTATTAAAATTTTTGTTATTGGTGAAGAAAAAAATACAATTATTTACATAGGCTTTCACGAAATTTATTCGTTCCATATATGATATTTTAATTTCGACAGTTGTAATGATTTTTATTCAATTTGCGCTGACGAGTATAATTTATAGCAAGTACTCAAAATTTGATTAGCGATATCACGACATTCTTCTGAAGTTTCGCCCCCAAATAGCGGTGATTTAACTAAATCTTCCAGCCATTGTTGTATTTCAGCAACGCGCTCCCCAAACTGTTTCATAAGAACATATGCTGGTGTGGTCACCAAAGTCGCACCAATAAGTTCTAATGTGGCCAGTCGAACCCGTGTCTCAACGCTGAAACGCACAAATGAACACAAATCAAAAACTTCTTGAGTGATGACGGGGAGAAGGGGACAATTCGTGGCACTCAACATAAATACAGTTAATGTGTGTAGAAAATTAACCAACAATAATGTATCAATATCGTGCGCTATGTGATCGGGCTTCACGTACAACATCTGTCGAGTGCGTGGACCACGAACAAGCGAAAAGAAAAATATGCCTGCTACAGTGTGGAAACGATTGAGTTTTGCGGGTTTTGTGTCCAACGTTTTGTGCTTGCCGTGAAATCGCTTAGTTTTCTCTTTGAGGCGTTGTCGTATTATACGTTGAGCTGTCAGTAAACGAGATTCGTGTTCATTATCGAAGTGGAATTTGCGGGGATGTTTCGCTGGAGTTGGTAGGAGTGCTGTTTCCGCGAAAGTTTCTGCTTCTCCTGTTATACCGGAAAGTTCTTTGGCAGCGGCAGCCAATATTTGTAGCATGAGAATTCGCAAATTGGCATTATAGCATGTATTTTCGGTGTGAAATTCCCGACATAGATACTTTGCAGAGGACCCTGGTACAGACACACAAACTGCCACGCCACATTTGAATTTCGTCCGTTCGAAGTCCTCATAATAATAATGCATTTCAAGTGGTACGAAAATACGCAAAATGTCAATAGCGAGACTGGAGTCTTGTTGCGACAATTGTGAACGTATCAACTGTTCTGCTGCAGATATGGCAGCCTCAAATACTTCATAATTATCTGGTTTTGTGCTCAAAGTGTGTATCAAGTCCGGTAGAAACTTGGGGCGTTTTTCTGTTACGATTGACGTGTCGTTAGACATATCGTAAGGTTTATACTCTTCCTCATCATCATCAGAATCTAGTTCTTTTATTTTCGTTGATTTTTCAACACTTTTCAAAATTACATAAAGGGGGTTTGACTGAGAGTTCGGTGTAACAATTTTCGATATTTCAATCGTTTCACTTGTGAAACTTTCTAATAAATTTGTTAATCTATTCAAATTGACTTCTGCGTCCACGGTATCGTCTTTTTTAGGTATTTTGTAGTTATTTGCTATACTATCAAGTTCTGTTATCAATCTGCCACGTGACAACTTTAATACATCTTCATAATCGAAATGCAAGCGATCCTCCGTTTTTGTGTGTGGATCTTCCATGTAATTGAATATTATTTCCACCACCTTCATGCCAATATGCCTTTGAACCACGTCGGCGCATTCCAAATGAAAACGTAAAATATCATGGAGATAACGTTTGTAGTCGTTGTCATTTAATAGGTGTACCTTTCTGTCTTTCTGTTCGGCAAATAATTGTTTAGCAGTAGCTATAAGTAATTTGCCAAAAGTTAAATGCTCCTTATCTGTTAGTCTCTGCAAAGTAGAACGCTTCGACCAAACGCTAAGCAATTGCTTGAAGACTACCTGTACCAATTTAGGATCGCTCAATGCTAAATAGCGGACTAAGGCGCAGAGAGCATGCTCGGAACTCGGCGTGCGTTGTATCGTCAATGTATGTGTGAAACAATATTGCCAGTTGTCTGAATTGGCTACAGCATTACCAAGCAAGCGATACACATCGACATCTGGCGCTGTAAGCAACACAGCCAACCCTGCTTTATGTATAGCATTTGAGTCCAATGCATTAAACATTTTCTGTATTACGACACGCGGTCTTGACAACTTAGCAAACTCGTCGACGATTTTTAAAAATTCATATAGCTTGCTGTCAGCTTCTTTGGTATTACATAAATTCGTTATTATACGACTTAATAGTCGGCTGCAAAATTCCAAGTTAAAACACGAAATGTTTTCACACTTGAAGATGAAATTCAAAGCACAAAGTAAATGCCTGAGTAGTTTATGAGCATACCTTTTGGGTATAAATGCATCTGGAAGTTTTTGACCCAATTTATTAGCTACCCTATTCGGTAGAGAAATAATAATTTGCAAAAATTCTGTGACATCCGCATTAATTTCTTCGAATTTTAGCGTAGGCAATGCCTTTAATTCGCATTTGAACTCTTGTGTCAGTATTGATTGAGCGCGACAGATATGCAGAATGGTTAAAGGTAATAGTTGAGTATCATTGACGAGCTCCGACAATACAAATACTAGGGTTGTGGACCCATCTTCGTCCAGGATATTCAGATATTTGTTGAGCGAATAAAAAGTTTCATATATATAAGCAAAGTTGCAGTCAACTCTAAAAAGATTGAAAATCTGCACATCACTATCTGATGATCGAATATCCGGCCATTTGAGGCTAAACAGTTTTATAAGGCTATGCAGGATTTCCGCATACTCATACGCGGCGATTTCTGACCAGTCCAAGGCATCCTTGTCGAGACCAATAATTTTCTCCGCCGTGCAATATCCAGGAAGAGCGCCACTTCTGAACAAATACTCGATTGTTTTAGCAATTTTCGTTGCATCTGCTGCGCATGTAACTTTCGGTATAGACTTGATTGTATTAATTGCATGTTTAAGTGTATTTTTAATGCTGACAGGTATTGGCTTAATTCTGAGTCTCTCTTCTGTGCCATCCTCGACTGAAAATGGAGAAGAACGTGTGCATCCAATTGGAATATGTAACCGCAAAAATTACAAATGTATGTACGTGTAGATACAAAGAGTATGCGATTGTCTTTACTTTACATTTCTACTTTTTAACTGCAATTTTGTTTGGTTTATAGTTAATTACACTAAAATATTTAACATATTTAATTTCGAAATTATACACATATAATGTCAATCATCATGCGCGTAATATTTTATATGAACAACTTGGAAATTTTTATATATATTTTCGCCTATACGGCAATGGTGTTTACTTACAGTATAAATTATATAAAAGAAAATAAACTTACCCATTGGCATACTTTGGTGAATAGATAAGTCTCCCAAACCAGCTAAAAGATCTGTAGTAGTTGAAGCGCCAGTCGTCGCCGATTCTGCAGAAGTGGCTGAGGTACCACTAAATAAATCAAATGAATCGTTAGCTGGAGTTGCCGTTGTCAACAAACTATTGTCCAGCGCTCTGAGTGTGTTAGAAGCCAAACTTCCTTGAAATGCGGAGAAGTCTGCAAATTCATCGGAAGCTCCCGCAATGTTCGTCGTAGGCAATTCAGGCAATGATCCACTATCAAAGGCTGAGGTAAAATCACCAAATTCTTGTGCCTGCTTCGACTCGATTGCACGAGGATTAAAATCGTCCAAATCATCGCTTGTAATGGCAGCACTAGTCAAAGTTTTATCGTTCGGCGCTGGGCAGGTTTTAAATATATCATCAAGTAAGTTATTATTATTATTGCCGCCAATAATATTTTGCTGTACGCCTATAAGATTGTTGTTATCTATTGACCCAACGTCACCCCCATCGTTACCGTTGCTACCAATTAAATCATCCCCACCACTGATGGGCGTATCTCGATGAGTAGGCGAATGTATACCCGCCGCATTTGGTGACATTTTACCAAAGTTTGCTGCAGCTCCCATGTCAATTTTTTTACTTCCAACAACTGGCTTTGCAGTTGGCTGCCTTGTATTACTAGATGGAGTGTTGTTAAGCGCGGATTTTTGACGTATATTCATATTAATAGAATTTGGCTTGGCCTCTATGCCAAATTCAGCGGGGCTCGAACGATCATTGTAGCGATTTGCTCTCCTGTATGGAGTATAAAAACTGTTAAGCAAAAAAATACTATAGTTTCTTCCACTGCGCACCTAGGGCTCGGCGAATCACTATCCGAATACTCCCGCTCGCCTTCATACTGTGCATCCTCATCTTCGTATCGGTCACCCCCGCGTGCATCGGAATCTAATAATAACACATTCATTTTATTAAGCGTGCACTTGGTTACAAAATCCAGATATGCTAATTTACTTACACCAATTGTCACCGAAATCATTGCGCTGCGCACGCCAATCGTTATAACCACCACTTTGCGCACTCATGCTTCGCATGCCCATTGCATCGCTACTCATACCTATATATTTATCCTTATTCTTTTTTGCTTTTTTCCGCTCCTCGCGTAAACGTTCATCGTCCTGTATAAAGTCTATTAATTCTCTAACCTGTAATAGAGTCAAGTTGAAATAAAGAAATGCGTATCAAATTAACACTTCACCTTATGCCTAACGTTAATACCCTGATCCTTGCCACCTTCATCGGTGAATGTGTAGTTTTCCAACGACCGTAAATCGTAAATATGTTCGCGAGATGATGTCACGACACGCTCTGAACCATTCCGTACTAAATAATTCAACAGTAGTAAGCTCTGTATTTTTTGGATAGTTGGAAGATTATATGAAAAATGTAATATGTTTAAATTTTCCTTTTCTTATAGTTAAAGGGAAAATGTGCATACCTTATACGTTCGCCGCCAGTTAGATTTATTGTCTTGTAGCATGCGCTTCCATAGCATGGACATGACTTCCGGAAAACTTTCATATGAAAAAGTTGCATGAGCCAATTCCTGCATTAAAGGTCCTGTGGGTCCCCAAGGATCATCATTTGTCGCTTCACGCACTTTTCCTTCGATTTCCGTATAATTCATAACGACATTGGTTCTGTGATTGGTAGAAGGAAGGTTTCGTTAAGGAAATGCATAAATATATACTTATTTACATAACTTTATATAGTATATATAGCTTTCATAGAATTTTGCAACTGCCACCTATATATAATCAGACAAGTGAATATGCACTCATGCTAACTAATATTGTCAATGTAGGATAATATCCTTTTCGTTGCAACCAAAAGTATTAGTTTTCACTTTATTAAATTGCACTGACGACATATCTTACACAAATGTCGGATGTCTTTATAATACCATTATCAACTCTCTCCTTCTAAACGTTTCTGGACTTGATCCACAAATAGTTAACACATACATTTTTTATAAATCTATTTAATTTACCACTAAACAGGATATGAATGCTGCTATATTAGAAGTGTCAACCGCTAAGTTAATGAATATGCTATGAGCATTAAGACCCTCCATTTCTTTATTAATGTAATAAATATTTTTTTAAATTAATTGTAAACTTTAAAAATTGAATTTAACTTTAACCTCCTTTAATTACTGCTGCATCTGGATAATCAGTTTTTTTTTTTTTTTTGTTTTACATTTATTCTAGCCTGTGCTAATTTTATGATCGACGGAATTCTAATATGATAATTGATCGTGCCAATTAAGTGTAAAACTTGTAAAAAATTACAGTAGGTACTTTGCATTTCTGTGTATTTAGCTAGATAACATGAAATAGATAAAAACATTTATAATAAGCCATGCTGTTATTTCAGTGGTCTCATTCACATGTTTATACCTTTAATTTTGATCTGTTGAAACAACTGTGATTACATTTAGTTATAAGGAAACTTCTAAAAACTAATATTTTGTAAATTTAAAATATATAAATAAGATTCATTTTTGTAGAAAAATATAATTTAGCGTAAAAACTCATAAGGTGTTATTTATTTCCTGCCATTGGGGTATTATCTGTTTTCTTTATTCCTTTTGGTTTCTTTGTAAAATTATATTATTTTCTTAATCTGGAGAACCTCCTCTGTCCGTACATACCCATTTTAACCCCGAATTCGGGGGATGCTATTCAAGCATTTACCCCTTGTTATGTACCAATACAAAACAGGTGGTAGCTGCGTGTTTAAAGTAAAAAAATAATTAAATACGAAGGTAGTACTTAAAAACACAGAAATGGAAATCGAAAGCTAAACTGAAATTTGAAAGCATTTTTAATTGTTAGCTGTCACATATGAACACACCCGTGCTGTGTTCGTATTATCGAATACCTATTTTATAAATTACATTTTATACAAAAAATACCAACTTGCACAAGAATTATAGATTTTATCCAATCAAAAACCACCTGCCTTATAAATACAAAGCGAAAGCAGATTTATATATACATATATACATATGTGCGCAATTGAAAATGTGATTTAAATATAATACGAGAGAAAATGCCTTTAGATTTTGATAACCAATTTAGAGTTTAGTTTAATTACGAAATTTCAATACACATTTGGTTAAAGTTATAGATTGCCTCTAGCAATACGTGTGCACACAAGGCCTTTTGGTCACTAGTATATTATCTTTAAACATTTTCCTGATTGATTCCGTACTTACACTTTATCGGCCAATTCGCGTACCTTCCACATACTTATGAATTTATCAACCATTTTGCTTGCAGTTCGAATATTTTCACTATCTTTACACGATATCGAGTTCGTGTCCACAAAACTGCAAAATTCCAAAGCACCTGTTTAAGTTTCGCTTTTTCTTAAGTGCTTATCAAGTTTTACTTTATACACTGCAAAATTGATGTTCATGAACTGTACAATTTTACACGAAAATAAGGGGGGAAAATTGAAAACTAAATGAAATCCGTGGAATTTTAGAAATTAATTTGTGGCAAAATTTATTGAAAAGAACACAAAAAGTTTTGGTGATTTGTCACCAGAGTTTACGCGTTTCAATAAATTGGAGAAGGGTTGTACCCCTGCATAAAATTTGGGGATGTGCCGAAAAAGTATGTTTTTACTGAAATTTGTGTTTGGGAAATAATTTAAATAATAATGTAAAGCAATAATTCAATCGAGTTAAACTATATCCACTCGTTACAATCATTTGAATTAATTTAGTATAAAATTTATAATGTTTTGCTAAAAAGGGGTAAAATCCAATAATGGCTTACTGTATTAAATGCTTAAAAAACCACTATTATATTATTATTATTAAGCTGTGGCAATCCACAGGCAATGTACATTGCTAACCATTTGTCAAATTCATTGCCAATGGGGTTGGCAATGTTCTTGTGTGGGCATTTGGCAATATTGCTTGCAATATAGATTTTTAGCAATCTTTAATTGCCTGTCCAGATGCCCCAACTGTCAGAAAGAAGGAGTATTGGTTGAGTTAACCAGAACTTAACTGATAGATGGTTCCTAACCAGTCAATGAGAAAACGATCCTTAGCGGATGTGTATGATTGACAAATAATTAGAATAAACATGTTCTTACGTGATAAGCTCCGCAGGCAATTGACATTGTTAACGATCTGTCAAATATATTGCCATTGATACTTGTGTGCACACCGATCGTAAAAAATCGAAAATTTTCCCCAACATGAATTCGTACGCACACAAGCCCATACACGAGTAAAGGCCCATTCACATACAACTTTCATCGCTTTTTGTGACAGCTCGTACTGAAACAACGAAGTGAAGCAACCAAAGGGTATGCCACAATGAACGCTTTCTCTCTTATCAAAATGCCGACTGTTGCTTTGCAAAGCGTAAAAAGATGAGATGCCCAAGATTTTGCTTCGGTTCGCGCCGAAACATTTTGTGTAAACGTACGATACATAAGTGTATATCGAAATTTTCTGTCAAAACAAATGTCTGACGCAAAACAAAGCAAAAGTTCTATGTGAATTGGCCATAAAACTTACTTGCTCGCATACCGATCGAACGCACATGTAAGTATGCGCTTTCGCATACGTATTTGTGAGTTATGTAGTACGAGCTTTAGTAGGCAGTAAATATAACATAACTAAAACTAAATATTTCATAATATACTTATTGTTACTTTTTTAGAAAATAAATTATCTTCCATAGTTTTTGTATTTTTAGATTATGAACTCCACTTAAAATGTCAACAACGAGTTCTGAACGAAGATCTGTTCAGTACAATTATTTCGTAAACTTACGATTTATCGTTTGACTATCAGATTTAGACATACATATATATGTATGTATATATTCCATTCCTAGGAACATATTATTACTTTTGACGTTTGTCTTGCGGTGTTCGTTGATTTTCATACACATTGTGGAAAATGTAAATTTTATAAATTAGAAGTTTAATGTCAACATTTGATATTCGAATATTCATTTTAATAGACATTTATAATTTTAAAAATTTGCAACATTAATTTTTTTAAATTTAATATTTTCCATATTACAATTGATCATCAGCATTCAAAAGGTTATATAAAAGATTTGATCTATATACAGCAGGTCCTATCGGGCAAATACACCACAATTATCAATAGGAAGTGTGAACAATGTTCGTTTTGCAACGCTTTGTCGGTGGTGTTTCCGCCCAGCTTATTCGGCGTATACAATATGCAACATATAGTACATCTGTAAGGGGTGCTCGATTAACGGCAACTGCGGCAACACAAAAGCAAGGTGATATTTCCCTCCAAGATTCAGGGGAAAGGGAGTCGAGTACATCCGGCGACGACCACTCGGACTTGAATGCAAAAAGACCAAAAAGTATATTAATTGAAATAAACTGATAGTAAAAATATAAAATATATACACCGATTTTGTGACAGGTTCTTTAGTTGCTGCAGCGTTTGAGTCCCTTAAAGAAGACAGCCACATAAATGAAAAATCGAAAACTACTGACAGTAAAGGTAGAAACAGCCTTGACGAGCGCATCATCAACGCGAAAACTGTAAACGGTCTATTATCTGTGTCCGAATCCAGTGGACCGCTCTCACGTAAACATGCACTGCAAATCGTCTCGATACTAGCTGAATGGAGCTCTATAAATCGTGCTAAGATTGCTGAATTTGAAAATGATGCTCGCTTTCTACGTGTTTGTCGGGTGCTAGGGCGCACCATGGGTAAAGACGGCAATGCGAGTGGTGGCTCCGGAATCGAAAACAACGGTCCCAAACGTATATCCGGGTTTCGAACTGACGACCTTAATACTGTTTTGGGAGTTGCTGGTGATGACGAGGCTGCCAAACTTATTGCCAGCATAAGTTTACCACAAATGGTGAAGGTAATGAGTACATTGGCTCAACGTAAACGACGAAGTACTCCTCTATTGCGATCCCTTGCCTTCAATATAAGTAGCACATCTGAGCAACTAGACCTTAAACAGTCTGCTGATGTGTTGTATGCTATGGCTACCCTGAACTTTCAGGATTCAGTGCTGGCGGCGAAAATTTGCTCTGATATACAGGCTGCGTTGCCAAAAAATAAAGAAAAATCAGCAGTTGTTGGGTCCATTTTAACAAGCTTAGGAATATTAAAGTATCGCGATTTAGGTGGGAGCACATATATTTAAACCAAAATCACAAATTTTAAATAAATATTAATGATGAAATATTTTTGCAGACATTATGGAAGCTCTCACACAATGGACACTGAAAAATTCCGAAATTTGTCGGCCGCAAGATATAAGTGCCTTGTTCATTACATCAGCCATACTGAATTTCAAAAGTTCCTTTATTGACGATGTTAGTAAAAAGTTAACTACATCTATTGTAGATGCTGATTTTCAGAAATGCAATGATTGGCTAAATCACGTGTGGTCGCTTTCAATGTTAGGGCTTGTGAGTCAAAAACAGCTGAACTCTGTTTTGAGGTGAGAAATCCCTTTGATTTAACTATGAAAATTTTACAACACACAAAACTACTAACATCTCTCTTTAATTTCGTATTCCATAGTGCTAATTTCGTTGAGAAACTGGAAGCGGATCAAAATGGTCTCTCACCTACATCTAAAATGAAGTTATTAAATTTGAATGCATATGCGCAGCATTTGGCATGCGACTACAAAGGAACCCTTCTGCCAGAAGATAGTGCAGTTTTCCGAGTGCCACTTGCGCATTCAAAATCTAAACAAATTTTGATTAACGGGATGTTGGATGCATTGAAGAGCTTACTACCTGCCAGCAATCATCTGAAAACTTTGCACGACAGCAAAATGGGATTTCTTATTGGTAAGTTGTTATTTTGGAATTATACACAGATTACCATATATTTTTTACAATAATCTTTCAGACGCACTTTGCTTATTCGACCATAAAAGGAACCCATTACCCGTAGATAAAGAAGATCCAAATGCAATAAAGTACGTATTCAACTTATTACTACGATTTTAAAATGCAACAATGAACAAATAAATACCCAGTAAAAGAGTAATTTTTTAACAATACTTCTCGTTTTATACTTAAAAGCTTTACTGGGTATTAATGGAGATAAAGTTTGTACATTTTACATTTTTTAATTGCGTATGTAGATATGTTTTGATGCTATTACATGTTCAAAACTTAAGATTGTTTTTTAAAGAATTGCGTTGATGGTGGTCGATTTCCACGACGTCTGCCATGGAACTCATCGCTCAGCTAGCGGCATAACGAACCTTAGCTTTGATTTGTTGGAAAAAAGTGGATACAAAGTCATACCTGTACCCTACAACGAGTTCAACACTAGTGACAAACTGCTGAAACGGGTGCAGTATTTGGAGGCGAAATTTAAAGCGATTATCAGTAGTAATGTTTAAGCTTTATACCTATTAGCATTATTTAACGCCCTAAGAAAGGTTATTGTTTATTTGTCAATGACATGTCGTTAATTAAAGAGTTAGGCAGTTTTTATTTGAGCCCTGTATAATTTCAATATAAGTTTGTAATTTATTATGTAATAATATGGAAATGACAATTTCATTGTTTAATTATTGATACAATCTTTCACAATTTAAGGCGACAAATTGTAATATAGAATATGCTTCGTTGCCTGTCCAAAGGAATACAATTTAACATTAGTAATTGTTGGATAAACTAAAAAAACAGGAATGCTAATAAAAGAAAATTTTGTCAACATAATCTTAAATTCGCTCGATATTGATATTTTATCTACCCATTTTACATACATATATTTCAATCGCATTTTTTCTTTTCCTTGAATATCGGGTTGGCCGATTTGCTGGGAAAACCTGAGCGTGGATATTCGTTTGGTGGAAAAACAATGCGTTGCTTATTTAATCCAACATGAAACCATTGTCCCGTCTCAACGAATTCGGTGGCGATTTCAGTCATCTTGTGGAATGCAGCGCGGGCTAACATATGTCTATTGCCTACCTCCAACACCATTTTATGGTCGTACACTTTTGTCGGATCGTCAAGTCTGTAATGGTTGCGTGCCTCTGACTCAGTAAGGCAAATACAATTCCATGGTGACCAGTCTTCACCTTTCAACCACCGTGGCAAACTATTTAGAAGGTAAGTACAAATACGTAAAGTGTAAAGTTATAGAAAAGGCAAATGAAATGTATGTGAAATGTAGCAATTTTTCTTTTTCGTTTTTTGTTTAAATATTTGGTTCTTATTGTAGCACTCATAATTACCGCAAATTGCTCAATACCGCATTCTTGCTAAGTATTGAGTGACTGTGCCAGATTTGGTCAATTATGTAACGAATGTCGTCCATTTGCAGCACAAATGCGAATGACGCGTTGCAGCGGCGCTTGCGCTCATCTCGCTGTATAGCGCGTAATATTGCTGCGTACGTTTTGTTGTCCGTAGAAGCGATCTAAGAAAGGTAAGAAGACAGACGGAAGTTACTTCGTCTGTTTTAAGCACTTCTTCTCAATGTCACATACCCTTTAAATATACAAGCGTACATAAATACCATACACGCCATAGGTGTAGAGTGTGTGTAGTCCACATTTTGCTATAATGTGGAGGAGCAAGGTTCTATAAATTTGAAG